TATTGTTAGAAAAGCATTAACAATATAGTATCTTAATAAAATTTTACGCCATAAAAATTGGAGCCGAGAACCGGCATCTATCGACGAAAACTTCTTTAATTATACGAAATATTTCTATCTATTCGTTGTTAAAAATTCAGAAAAAATAACGTGAAAAATCAGAAAAATAATAATAAATAAGAGAAGAAGAATATAAATCTCCAAATGCGAACAACGACAGTGATAATTCAACAAAATGAACTCAAGAGGAATGGTTGCAACCTGCAAACAACCGAATAGGATGAATACGATAGGTTACCAGGTTTGAACTATTATCGCCAAAGTTGGCGATGTTTACATTTACCGGGTTCTCTGCGGAAGTGCTTCCGAATATTTAGACAAAATAATGCATAAGACAATTAACATTATATATCATTACAGAACTAATTCTAGAATGGCTACTGTGTGGAAGGCTATCAAATACTGCATTTTTAAAGTAAATAATAGAAGCATATTTCTATCGTAGTTATATGAGAACTGAATAATATGAGATTATAGTATAGTACTATTCCGTTTTGGGTACTATTATAACGGCACTATTCCGTTTTGAGGACCGTAAAAAAATTGCAGCGAAAATGTATGCGCACCATTTAAAAGCGCGCCAAATCTAGCGTATGCGCTGATTTCAGATTGCGTAAGTTAGTTCTATATTTCTTAAGAGGCCGTTGAAATACTAGTTTAATTTTTAAAATCTTTTTTGATATCCTATGGATTTAACAATTTGGGAATTGCCCGTAACGAAAAGTCTGCAATAGAATTTTGAGTAAATTGCAGAATCTCCCACTGCTTGACGCGTTTTTAAGAGTTGCACATACTCAGTATCCATGTACACATCGACTTATTTTCACTACTTTAAAAAAAAAATCCCAGAATTGCACAAAAATGGCCTGCGCACACCCTTGACTTTATCTATGTACACATTGACCTATTTTCACTTAAAAAGTAAAAGAAAATTGAAAAAAAATCCAATTGTTTTTACCCTTGTAAACCCCCAGGAGGAATGCGATCATTATTGTAGTCTTTTTTTTTGACTTGAGCGAGAGCCTTGTTGAATTCAAAGCGAGTCAGTTTGACCCATCTCAGAAAGAACATCGGGTGCCGTCCAGAATTATCTGAGTTTAAACGTGGTCATCTGATGGTCATTTGCCGTACGCATTCCCGTGTGGAAATAGACCTTGCCGTGGTCTGGGGGCTCCCTCGAAAGAGGGTCTAACGTATTTCCACTCGCCAAGTAGCAGGTCCGGTGAGAACCCCAGGGTACCGGACTTGTGAACAGCAGCCACTGCGTAAGTTGGGCCCATTTACGGTTCATGCAGTGGTCCCTTAGTTAGGACATATCCCCTACACGTCGTCTTGCGCCCAATTACAAAACAAGGCAAGATGGCACGTCGAAAAGAAACCGGGCTGGAAAGTCGGGCTGAAACCTCCAAAGAGCAAACGGAGGGTCCGGCGAGGAAGGCTCGAACAACAGTTAGTGACAGTACTAGTGCATCTAACAATGCAACAGACAGTGAAAGTGACAATGCTAAAGATGTAAATAATCAAAGTTCAAATAACGTAAAAAGTGCTAATGCAGAACAGTTAATAGATGAAGCATATGAGTGTTTAAACACTCTAGATGGAATTCTAAACAACGAGAAAATCTCTAAGAAATTAGGAAAATCCATTAAGGACCAATTTACATCTTTGTTGATGTTAATGACAAAACAAAATCTACGCATGGCGTATTAGAAGGAACTTGTGGAAAATACACAAAATATTGAGGACTATATCCAAGGAGTGGTAGAGACTAAAACACAAAAAGAGACTTATGCAGGATAAAGTTAAAACTAATGCTCAAAGGCAAAGATCCAGATCGCGATCAATTAAAAGAAAAGAACATAAACTTCTTAGTATTCCCCAAAGACGAGGGTGCGACCTCGCAAGATGTTAAAGAGCAATTAGTGAAAAACATTAACCCAAATAACTTAAAGATAGGGGTTAAAAGTGTAAAGCATATACGTAAAGGTGGTGTATTAATAGAAACAGTTAAAGAAGACGATCTAAAAATCCTAGAAGAAGCAATAAAAGAAAATGAAAAACTTAAGGACTTAGTTGAACCCCAAAGCCCAATCGTCTTTAACCCCAGAGTCATAATCTATAATGTAAAGGAAGGAATAGAGGCGGAGACCCTAAAAGAAACTCTAATAACGCAAAACCCAGACATGGACTTAAAGGACTTAGAAGTAAAATTTAATATGAATGGTAGATATGGAAAGCACTGGGTGTGCTCAGTTAATCCAATAGCCTTTAAATTGATAATGAAATACAAAAAGTTAAATCTTTTCTGGACAAGGAAAAACGTCAGGGAATACATACAAGTAACGCAGTGCCAAAACTGCCTAGGTTTCGGTCACTCAAAAAAGTTTTGTAAAGAAGACCAATGTTGTCATAAATGCGGGAAAACAGGGCACATAAAAAGTGACTGTCCCCTCAAAAAAGGATAGATGTAGGAATTGTAAAAAAGCGAATCAAGACTACGGTCTAAAATTAGATTATAAACACAATAGTAGAGATAATGAATGTCCTAGCAAACAAAGAGAATTAGAAATAATTAGAAGAAAAATAAATTATGGATAAGTTCCAAGTAACGCAAATAAATTTACAGCACTCGAAGGGGTGCAAGTTTACAGTTAAGAACGGACTTAGAAGAAAAAGAGCAAGTTTTTATAGCTTGCATACAAGGAACCATTTCTAATAAAAGATAAATTATGCGGCTTCCCACAAAGATATAGACTCTATTATAAAGACAAGGGAGCAAAAAGTGCGATAATATTAACAAACCCAAAGGTTCCGGCCTTAGAAGTTTACACGTCAGAAGAAATAGTGGCGATAAAGATAGACGGGAAAATCCCATTTCTCATTCTTTCAGTTTACTGCCCTCCGCACAGTGAGTTAGACCCAATATTGACAGATATAGAAAACAGAATAAATGTCGCAAATCTGTCAATTGTGATATGTGGCGACTTCAACGCGAAGAACACACTATGGGGTCCCACCCAAACAGACCCAAGGGGTCTAAGACTAGGAGACTTTATAGCCGTAACAGGCTCGACAGTCATCAACCATGCAGACAGCCCCCCCCCCACATTTTCAGGAGCAAGGGGTAACTCGTGGATAGATGTGACACTATTAATCCAGAAAGACCAACTTCATATAGACAATTGGGAGGTGGACGCCAGGAAAACATTGAGCGACCACCAAGCGATAAATTTTCAAATTCAAAATAAATACCCGAACACAGAGCCAACAAGACGCATGAAATTAAGAGCCACAAATTGGCTGCTACTTAAAAGAGATATAACGCAGATTTCAGAAGAAATACACGTGACAGATGAAGAGGAGGAGTTAAACTCACAAATTCAAATAACATCAATAAAACTTAAAGACACATACCAAAAAAGAATCTTAAGTGCCCCGCCATTAATACCCAAAATAACCAGCGTAAAACAAAAGGAGGAACAAAGACCTGGTGGTCACCACACCTCACGGAGCTAAGACGTAAAGTCAGACGCTTCAGGATAATCTTTCAAAGATCCAGAGGATAGGATAGAAAGAACAAAAAGACAGGATTATAAAAGGGTAGCGGCACAGTATAAGAAACAAATATACAAAGAGAAAGTAAAGTCATGGGACAATTACTGGGAAAATCTGAAGATCTCATCCCCCTTCGGGACGTACTTCAGTATTGCCAAAGGTAAAGCATATAACCCCCTAAAATTATGCAACGTAAAGGATATAAATGGGAGGTGGACAACCGTCTCGAGGACACAGTAAAGGCTATTATAAGTTATCATTTCCCACAAGACACAAGGGATGACGACACCCCATTCCAAGAATGGGTGCGTCAAACAGCACAGGACACGCCCCACACAGAGGATGATCTTCTGTTCACAGAAGAAGAGGTAGAAATAATAATAAAGACCACAAATAAAGGGAAAGCCCCGGGGAAGGACGGTCTTTCAATAGAGATAGTGGAGGAATTATTCTTGGCGGACAGTCAAAAATTTACCAAAATCCTAAACACATGCCTAACAAAGGGCTACTTCCCAGACGAGTGGAAGACAGGTCACCTAGTCCTCTTTAAGAAAGAAAAAAGAGACCCTACAAGTCCAAGCGCGTACCGCCCTATATGCCTGTTATCGGCATGGGGAAAGGTATTAGACAAACTCCTAGCTAAAAGGCTAACTCACCATCTGATTACATGTCAGAAGCTGAACAATAAGCAATTTGGATTTACTCCAGACAAGAGCACAATAGATGCTATGGACAGGTTAGTGAAAATTATAAATGACAATAAAAGAAGAGATATGCACACATGTGTCATCTCACTAGATGTCGCCTCGGCATTTAATAACTTATGGTGGCCGGGCGTCCTAGAAAGACTTTTGGACTTAGAATGCCCACGCAATTTATACAAAATCATAAAGAGCTACCTTCAAAATAGAACAATAGAGTACAGAAGGGACGGAGTCAATCTTTCACACAAATATGAAAAGGGAGCGCCCCAAGGCTCCAACCTCGGCCCCATTCTTTGGAATGTAGTGGCGGATTGAGCCTTAAAATTACAATTCGAAGAAGGGGTTGAAATACAAGCGTATGCGGATGACTTTATAATAGTCATAGCAGGAGGAAATAGACTAAGATTAGAAGATAAAGCCCATAAAGCACTAGATAAAATTCATAAGTGGAGTCAGAATTATAAATTAAAATTTAGCATTGAAAAAACATAATTAATGCTGTTCCCCAAACGGAATAAGCTCCACCGTTCACCCCCAAGAATAAAGTGGAATAACATCCCAATCCCCAGATGTGAAACTCTAAAATATTTGGGGTTCACGCTAGATCAGAAATTAACATGGATACCCCATCTGGGCGAAATAAGAGAAAAGACCCTAAGCTTAATTAACAGTCTTAATAGAATGGTCACACATAGATGGAACCTAAAGGGAAAACTACTAAAGACCCTCTACCTACAAGCGGTAGAAAGAATGGTACTATATGGATGTCCCATATGGTACACAGGTACGGAGAGACAAAAACAGAAGCTTAGCCAAATACAAAGAATAGCACTTTTGTGCATAACAAAGGCCTTTTCAACGGCCCCAACATCGGCCCTACAGATCCTAGCAGGAATCCTCCCCTTAGACTTAAAAGCGAAAATGGAGGCAGGCATATATCGCCTACACCACTATAAAGAAAATCTCCAAATAGGAGACGTAATAATATGGGCACAAGAAGTAGAAGAAAGAATCCCGACAATAGGGGAACACCCAGCACTAACACAGAAGGTTAGATGGTACAAAGACCCCCCAGAAGACAATGAGATAGAAGCGTTCACCGACGGGTCCAAAAAGGACAACAGAGTAGGAGCAGCATTTGTAATATACAATAACTCCCAAGAAATTACGAGCAAACAAATAAGATTAAATGACGAAGCGACAGTCTTCCAAGCGGAAGTTGTGGCTCTAAAGGAAGTGTGTAAGTGGTTAAGCCACAATGCAGACAACAATACCCCAATTAAAATCTTCACAGATAGTCAAAGCTCATTACAAAGTTTAAACAAAATAAAGATTACAAGTTCAAGCATAAAAGCGTTTAAGGAGATTATCTGTACTCTCCAAGAAACGCACAACACAGTCCTCAATTGGGTCAAAGCCCATGAAGGAACAAAAGGCAACGAGAGAGCAGACGAAGAAGCAAAAAGGGCAACCGAAAGAGACACAATAGACATGGCGGTTCCATTGTCGGAACTAGCTGTAAAACATAAAATTAAACAAGAATTAATAAAGCAATGGCAGGAACGCTGGGACTCCGAAACAACAGGAAGATGGACACATGGGTTATTCCCAACAGTCTCCCCCAAACGAATAAGAACAAACTTCTATGAAGTCCAAGCACTAACAAATCACGGCAAGTTCCCGAGCTACATAAACAGGTTCTTTAAGAAGCAAGTTAAATGTGCCTGCGGCACGAGCGCAATCCATGCAAATGCATCACACTACATCACGAGTTGTCCGATGCTTGAAAGGCAAAGGAAAGAAATTTTTCTAAGTTCCTTCTCATCGCTGGACTTAGAACATCTAGTAAAATATCCGGCAGGACTCAAAGGAATCCGAAAGACAATAACTTATAAGTTATAGTTATAGTAATAAGTTATAGTAGACAATAACTCAATGTTTGTAAAGGATATCATGGCAGCATGATACCCTCCTTTAACTATTCTACGTCTCCTGTATTCTCATTAGCACTGTATATATGTAAATATCTAATTTTGTATCTCTTTTGTATTTTTGATAATAGTTTTAATAAAGTTAAAAGTAAAATTAAGAGGATCTTGATTGCGATCCTCAAATAAAACTATTTGTTGGCGAGATCATTACTCCCGACAAATCTTCCAGTCACTGAGACGCACTATGGTGGTGAGCTTTGGAGATTTCGCCGAAAGGCCCTCCACGATACGATGTTCAGCCGCAAGGCATCTACGACACGGCACCCAAAACGACTAAGTACCTAAAAGGGCCATTTCATCAATTGCACAAACGGGTTGCAGCACCCTCCCGCCTGATACGGAGGGGCAAAAACCAAGTGTTCACGTGGATACCAAACCACTTACGAGCCAATAACGACCGGTCCGCTCAACCTCTTCCTCCCGCCTGATACGGAGGAAGTCTCCCCCCGACAGAGGGGGAGAAAACAGGTTTCCCACAGTTGCGTTAATTCGCAGGAGTGGGTAGTAAAATTAATTAATTACCCTTTACATATCTTCTCTACATATAATGGGCATTCTGCACTTACAGAGAATTTTTCATAGAAAATCATCTTCATTAAAAATTTTGACAACAACGAGATAAATTTGCTTTAGCGATACTCGGTAGCGAAATAGCGGCGGCATCCATTACAATTTTTATACAATAAAAACATCTGAAATAGTTTTTACTCTTGCTTCCATTCGGTCATGTTTATTCTTTTTATATAAATTATAATAATAATAAAAGAAGAATTATACGAAATTAACATTTCATCTAAATTAAAACATCAATCTTAAGTAGTTATTTACTATTATAGTACTTCCTTTTTTGCGTTAGGGTTGCCGCAATTGTTTTTGGCAGCACTGGCATCAACAATAGTTTGGCGATTTTTTGCGGCCCTCAAAACCGAATAGTACCATTTTATACAAGAATATCTAAAATAATCAAAATCGTAAAAACAACCTTGTATTTAGCGTAGGTATAATGAATACGATTTTGATTGTCACATTAGCGTGTTTCTCTTCTAATCTGAAATAATATTTTCACAAGCACACACATAATGTTTCAATACTTGGGTTTTCAAAGCAGAAAAAGTTGTAAAATAATACTTATCCTAGAATAAGTGTCAAAAGTAGCTAGTTATCTGATACATAGTAGATCATATGAGCAGGAATGTGATATTAACACATATATAAAATCGGATCGAAAGTAATTGCCCTGCGTTTTCGCAATAAACGCACGTTACTCGACTTTTAATGCTAATTTAGCAACATAACAGAACCAAACCAAATTAAACAAATATAAACACATCTTAATCCCGTTTTCCCCCATGTATTTTCCTTTTCTACTTACCACCTATACCCCACATGATATTTAGGGTCAGCGCTAATATCAGCTCCGAACGCGCAGGGAGGTCACGTGATCGACGCTTCATGCGTAAGCTGACGTCACAACGAAGGTCCGCCCAGCATCAACAACTTCGTTCGATGTAAACATGGTTCACAACTTTGATTCGGAAATCTGAAATAAGTCTTTGTGATATCTGTGAATATGTATGTTTGAACGATTTCGAGCAATTATACACTGAATGGCTTGGTTATGTTTCTCCGTATAGAAAGCGAAAGGATAAATAGTGATCATTTTTTAATTGGTCTTATATAGAAAATGTTTAACCGTAAAAAAATCTTCATACGATATTCTAGTATCAGATATTTTTTAATCTTATTTTTACATGATACGATTGCTTTGTCACTTCACTGATTAAGCTAAACTAGCAAACTAGGCAAATTTAGTCTATAATTTCTCTTCAAATATTCAGAATAAACGTGATTTAGGAAACCTCACATAAGATTAATAATTTAATTTACAATGGAACTATGTTTGAATAAAAATATATATATAAACAGTTGTCTTTATTTTGTAACCAGACCTTAAAAATAGATTGTAAGTTTTTGAAATGCCATCACGCATTTCCATATATTTGCTATTTTTTTTCTCATGTCACATCATTCATCACATGGCAAACTTGTGAATAAAATTTATATAATTGCTACTAAACATCTGTGTGTTTATTGAATTTATGATGCTTGCATAATACAGATATTTGTCAGGCGACCATTCATACTGTGGATAATATCCAACTCTCATATAAAGTTTATAATATATCAACACAACTAGAAACTGAATTTCTTTGCTCCAGGCAAACTGGGATTTGTGTTTCCTCACCTTCAAAATCAATTTAGTTTTATCCAAAATCTAGGCTCCAATTTTTTTACCTAATTTTAAATAATTTCCTTGCCAATTCATAAAGTTTAAAAAAAAACAAAAAAGTAGCAGTTTCTATTCTCCTCACTTCGCAAATCCAACAGATACATAATCAGAATTACAAAAAAAAAAAAAAAAAAAAAAAAAAAGGACAGTTTTTATTGCAAGCTGAATTAGGTGCATTTGAGTAAAAATTTATGTGATGCAATTAAAATATAAAATGAGCAAAATTTCAGGCACATATCTTGTAATACTATTTCTATCATTATCATATTTTTCAAACAAGGAGCTCACATGTGTTAAAAAAAAAATTCTGCACAATGTTCCTATTAAAAAGTTTATGCTCGTTTTTTCTCTAATAAGTGTGTTTTTATAATGTTTGTGTACTTTTATCATGCATTACAAGGGAAACTGAAAAAAATTAATAAATATTAGATTTTATATGTGGCACTCAACACACTTTTGTTCTGCCGTGTTGCCTCTGCTGTAATTTTATGAAACACTGCTTTCTGAATATTAAAAAAATGAATATCAATTGTATAGGCTGCTTCTTTACGAAGACAAACTAAATGCAGATTCTGCCAAATTGGGAAATAATAGGTAGCAGTGCTAGGAAGCGTTTTTTTTTCTACATAAATCAACTTCAACTTACTTTCTTTCTTTGTTTTCAGCATTCATCTTTATACCTATATTTCTGTCACTGACTTGATTAGTATTAAACTATTATTTAATTCCAGGTATTCATACATGGAATTAGTTTCATTAGTTAAAAAAGATTATAGTAAGTAAGATACCTTGCAATGGTATATTGCTAAAAATATTAAGCATGCAGGAAAAAATTGTTTTTAAAGGACATAATTATATCTTAATAGACAATACATAATCAACAAACCAATCTATAATATAATTTGCTATTTCAGAATTTTCAGCAACATATATTTCTTATCTTTCTTTTTTAATTTTCAAAGCTACAAACAGAAATAAATCCATGACTGTTTCAAAATTTAAATACTCAAATAAAGTATGGAGAACAAATATGATTTTAATAATGAATATTTATAAGGAATAATGTTTAAATTTATAAGAACTGTTCAAATAAACTCACTACCAGCACACATGCATTGCAACACAATGAGGTAATGGCATATATTTTGAAAGATGGCTGGCATGTACTTTCTACAGCAATGGTGCTAATTGGTGCCAAGGTCGGACTAGAGTTTTAAAAATTTATAGTTAACTATCACAAATTCTGCAAAAACATGCCTTGTGGTATATAAAAATTTCTTCAATTTTGTACATGCCACAATTTCCTTTTGTGATCTAGTTTGGCTAGCCTTATCAAATAATATAACAAAACATTTGCATCATACAGCAATCAGTCTCTCAAAATTTGTTGGCACTATACATGAACTATCTTCTCTGTAAATACTTCTGTTTGATAGTTCATAACTAAACTTAGAAATTTGTTATGTCTGGCTAAGTAACTTTTGCTGGATTTAATATTACTATTACATTAGTGTTTATAGAGTATAAACTCTGAAGGGAAATATGATACCTCATGTTTTAAAGAAATTATTCTGTACTTTGCTATTAACGCAGTTGGTACAGTCTATAAACAAGCTATTCTTTTTTTCTAAAATTACAATTTTAAGTTTTTAAATTATTGAATATAGTTCTGTTTGGATTATATTATACTTACAAATTAACACTGCAATTATTTAGATATAACAAGGACTGAACAGCTATTTGCCTAAGAGGAAGGATGCCTTTGTGGAATACTTTTTATAAGAAAAGTTCCTCGCTTCCATGTTACACATGGAAAAAACCACAAAACTCTCATACAATCAATCCATTTACTGTTATTTGAAACTGGGTCGAACTAACAACACTCCTCAGTTGTATCAATTGCCTATCGTGAACCAGTTCCATTGCAGGAAAATATTGTTAATACACATTAAATATTGGTCCCACCAGTCACTGAGAAGTTATGACCACTGAACACTGATAGTTCAACCCAGATTTGAACACACTCAAATGATCTAGCTGAATGGTAGTTTTTCTCCACGTGTAACATGAATATGAGCTAGTTTCCTTTAGAAAGTTCTCCACAAAAATATCCCTGTCCTTAGGCATGTAGCCCTTATGTACTTGTGCCATATTAAAATAACCTAACCTTAAATTTGAATGCAGTTTTCACAGTTATGATAAATCACATATTTTAAGGTATTTTTTAAAAATTTCTTGAACTATAGAGAAAATTGCTCATTATCTGTACTATGTGTTATTGATCGTTTTATATTCCTAGACATCCATACCCTGTAAGGTCATTAGGTCTTTAACCGTAATAACTCATTTGCATCATTGTAAAGAAGCATTATATTTATTGCAACGATTCATCCACTACCATTTGTTTTTCTATATTCTCCTTTTTCTATATAACACACATATATATACGTCTAAGTTTTCGTGCTTTTGTCTCACATATACACAGTCATCTGTTTCAGGTAGGAAACATCTGAGAATTTATCAACTTGCTATTAAACTTCTAAAAACAAACGAAGAAAGAGGTTCATGATTCTTAAAGCAAGCCACATTATCTATGCATGCAGAAGGCTAACTATGAGATTTTGTCGAAAACAATCAAAACTGCACTATGCTGTCCACCACTAGGCTAAAACATTAAAATTCCCATTGCAGGGATTAATCTGCAGTCATGCTACTGATAAACCATCTGGAGAATGCTATACATATGCATGAGTTGAACAATAAATATTTTTTGTGACATCATGGGTTGCCACTTAATGCTTCTTGGGCGACATGATGCGTTTGCTTCATCGATATATTCTCATGCTTATGGGTGAAGTGTACGAAAAAAAATCAACTGGCAAAATATTAGGTACTGTTCTATTATCGGGACCGATTAACAATGTATGCATGTACACATATATGCGTATGTTTATACACATACTTTGTACTTACATATATGAACACATACATCCATATATACATGCATACATATCTATTTTTTCTGAATTAGTTCCTGATAAAGGAACAGTGCCAAATTTATACAGAAATAGATAAATTATGTGTTAATAGAGAATACAGTGCTATTAAAATAACGCTTTATCAACCAGTTATATCCTTACCTACTTCAACACAGCCTCTTTCTGCTCAACATTTCTAGATTTAGAAATTTTCTTTCTGCAAGGAGACATCAGTAAATTTTTCAAGTCCAGTCTAATGTAGAATTTTATGAAATTAACTGAACATACGTAATACAGAGTATACCACTTTTATAGTTTAAAAGAAATTAAAGACATTCATATTGGAGGACATCAAAATCAAAACATACTGATATGGCAACAAAGAACTGAAATATAAACAGAACCTTAGTTTTAAAAGTTATGGTACTTCTTTAGTATTGCAGCTTCCATCTTTTAAACATCAGCTGGCATCAATTATTGAAAACTTTCATGTCTCATGTACACTTTGTTACTGCCCTGCTTCCTGGTCGACAACTTTTGACATGAGTGTGGATGGCTCTCTATTTAGAAACTGAGTGAGAAAGAATTTTTCAGTTTTTTGGCATAACTTGTCATTTATGGAGCATTATGGAAGAATCATGCCAGTTTTGGTTTTTTTGCTGTATGAACAGATTTTCTGCTATGTTCAAAATTTTTTCAGGGCCACCTATTCACATATTTGGTTGGCAGATCATATGCAGAGAATACATCCCTCTCGTAAAAATGTTTCAGTGAATAGTCACATTTTTGTAGTATTTTTTCTTTTATTGCTGTTACAACAGTTCTGAACCACTAACCAGCTGTTAAACATATACAGTCAAAAGTCGTTAATTCGGACACCCATAATCCGGAATGATCTATAATCCGGACCTCAAAGCTACAAACTTTCTGTCGCATGCGTCGCGTTCACCATGCGCACAGGCGTTTAAGAGTGCGCGTAAGACCTTTACGTCTGCGACATTTTGTGCGCATGCGCGTTTAATGTGTAACGGAGGTATAAGCTAAGCTAAAAATTCAGTTAATGTTGCAGATTGCGTTGTTCCTTAATCTTCGAATTGGATCCGGCTTATTATTTTTTGCAGACTGTTAGAGCAATTTCATAAAAGTAAGCTTGAACTTTCGATTATGTCAAATAGAATTTCCGATATATATTTACTAATATGTAATTTGTATCTACAAAGCGAAAGTATGTTTTGAAATCCGAAATCTGTTTATCAATTTCACGCCGCGGATTGGAAGTTGATCTGTCAGCACTATCCTTATCTTCAGGGCAGATGTTTTATATTTTATTTGGCTTATAATTCCTTACTAAATGTAGTATTTCATCTCGATGTACTCCGTCTTTGATATGATTTAAATCAAATTCCTCGTCATTATAATTCGCTTCCGATAGTGAAGAAAGTGACCCAGAGGTTATTGAAAACGAAACATTTTCGATTGACAATTAGTCGGTATTCTCGACACAGCAATTACAGGACTTGAACAGCGAACTTTGTAACTAACAAGAAATTATGTCTGTTTAATAGAATTAAAGAGAAAGTATTATCACATGAAACGAAGCAACTGACATTGAAAGAAATGTTAATAAAGTAAACAAATAAATATTAAGCTTTTTTTTTGTAAATTTTGATAACCCTTTAGATCATAATTGTTCTTTATTTCATAATTACGGTTTCATATTTTTAATTTTATAATTTCTGCATGCCATCTTACCAGATTTAAAATGATGATCTATAATCCGAAAAATCGATATCCGGAATCGCGAAGTCCCGACGAGTCCGGATTAACGACTTTTGACTGTACTTTTCTTTGATTAGCAAATTTTCAAGCTGCACCTCTAAATGCTTTCACTGATGTGAATTTTATTGAATGTCCATTTTTCATATTCGGATTATGTAAAATATGTGCATTTCTTGAAAGAAAGATATAGCAAGCATCTTCCTCACTTCTCAGTAAAATTAAGAATTTTTAAGATTAATATGAATAAAATTCATTACATATAGAATACTGATAGCTCTTCTGTGATGAGAGAATTCTGATGATTATGAATTATTAACGTTTGCATGGGAAGAAATAGATCACATGGTCTCCTCGAATCTCTTCTCATTATAAGCAACTGTAAATCATCATTGTTGGGGCTGCCAGTTTTCAAATAGTTTACATTGGCGATTCATCAAAATCTTGACAACTTTAAAAAACAGATCCATAATAATAAGGAAGAAGAATATCACATCCTTCGAAGCTGGTTTAATTTATTGACTAGAGCACATAGGGCTATCAACCTAAAACGATGGATTCTTTGTGAAGGACTTTCTGGGGAACTGGCTCGTATCTACACTAAAGCCTGGAATCCATCTTCGAAGGTATTTTTAAGCCGAAATTACCTTCGCAGCTTCACAAGGGCTCATTCATATTAAAATTTGAATGCATTTCACAGGATAAAAATTTGTTATTTAAATTTAGTGTGGTCATCATATTTTTCAACTATTCAGACAAACTTATATACACATTAAAAATTCTGACATGCAAAAACTAAAAAAAAAAAAAACTTCCAGTAGATCTTTTGTTTAAATATATACATGATATTTTTCCATCCAAAGATTATGTAAATAATTTTATATTAACCAGATTCCTTTCAGATATACAATAAAATAATACAAGTTGTCACATTTATTACAAAATGTTCGTATTTAAAATTAATTAATTATTCATTTGATAATATATGGCTAACAAATTTATTTTTTTCTATACAATGATGAAATTATGCACAAACACTGATTATTAGATGAAATGTTTGGAAATATTACAGTGAATTAAAACTGAAATCTCATATGTTTCTCAGTAATTTAAAATAAACCAAGAGTAATTGGAAAGCTATACAGTTAAATGTTAATATTTGATATGTTTTAGTTAGCATATGTAGTATTTTTCAGAAATTATCTCTGTTTTCTGAAATTCATATGAAAAAGCATGTTTCAATTAAGCGCAAAATTTATGACATAAGGCAGATCTTTGATGTGACATCATCTTACACGTAGTTTGGATGTCGCGTGACCTCCCTGCGCGTTTGGGGATTTAGCACTGACCAATATTTACTTCCGTTGGCATAATGAAATGTCGCCCATATCCTTAAAGGAGCCAAGTTGGCGAAACCAAGGCTGTTCTCCGAACCTTATCGAAATAAGTCGTTAATTTTACAGCAAGCATCGCCATACTTAATCTTAGGAACTAGAGTTTTGGCGCGAAGCGGCGCATTACCTTGCACACTAGGATTATTATCGACATTGACATTACAAAGTACATGAAATTAATTGCTGATATCAACACCCAAAAATTGTTTGCTGATTTGTGTCGAGCGGTTTTCCAAGGTGAGGTAATACCGATGTACAAAAGAAGTAAAACAGCTTCGCAACTTGCTTATACAGCAGCAGTGTTATGTCAGATTTCCTAAACGTATATGGCTTAATTAGTTTTAAGTCTCTAACTAAATATATTTATGAGTATATTTGTACTGAGATATTTGTATTATAGTTCTCTAAACTCTTTGGTAGCAATGACATCATCTCTCATTAATAACAGTTTGCAATTGGCAACACATAAAAGAAATGGACATTTGATTTCTTTGTTAGTGGGGGTGGCATCAATTCTTCCGCTAAAATTGTAGGTTGATGGTGTAATTTTTATGGACGAAGTGTACAAAGTGGGTGTAAGAAAGCTGAGAAGATCGAAATCAAATGCATGGGTCCCACTTCTGTCTTATGTGCAACATCATCGTATAAATTTATATCCGTTTCATGCCGATGATCATAGTGTTGCTTCTATTTTTGCTTTCTTTTATGGATTTGTGTCGTTTTTGAAATCTATCCGACCGAAAGTTGTGAAATCTCCTTCAGTTGCAATGAGTGGATTAGAGAAGCTGGGAAATGCAAGATCGCCTCTTTGCCCGAAACAGATCCCAATTTTACAGGATTATAACATAACAGATACAGTACTTGGACTAGGTATAAACGGAAAAGTTGTGGAGTGTTATGACAAGCAAACTGGAATGAAATATGCTCTGAAAGTAATTATTAATTTATCTTACTGTTGTGTTGATTTGTGGCATATTCATTGCGATTATCTCTTAACAGTTTTTTTTTTCGTCTTTCCATTTTTGTACAGGTGGAATGTAGTAAAAAAAAAAACGCCTTTAAAATATAGTTTCATAAAATATTCTTGCTGGTTCTTTCTTTAGGATTGCTCATGGTTCATTATCAAGCATAATTTTCAAGTCTTTTGCCGCTTATTTAAAAAACATGTTTAAGACTTGTGATAACGAGAGATTGAATACATATTTTGACTCAATGGGCTATCCATTGTTTGCAATATGGTTTGAAAACTAAAATAATTTAAAAAGCTTAATATTAAAATGCAGTATTAATGGAGAACAGCATGCTTAAAAGTAAAGATGAATACTTATTCATAGACTCGACATAAAATGTATTAATGAACACTTATGTAATTTAATTATTCTTTTGCAATATTGTTAAGGAATCCTATATTCGTTGAGAAATTTACTTTTTCTATTATAGTTTTAGCATTTTTCAACCATTAGTTCTGTGTTTGCTTTATTTATCTGTAATAATTTGCTTTCTCATTATGTTAAAAACATTTGGTTTAGGAAATTACGGGACAGATCAGTAATAAAATAATAAAAGTATTGTGTTTGGTATGAAAAAATATTTAGAAATATTATTTACAATGTTGTGCATGAAGTACTGGATTAAATTTTAATTCTTGTTACTTTATGAGCTGCCAAATAAATCTACTTTTCTGATTTATCATATTGTTATGAATTTGGTATTTAAACAGCTAATGTTAGTTCAATTATAAATTAAATGGTTTTATTTCCCGCACAGTGCAGCGCGTGATGAATATTAAAAAAAAGCTAAACCGTAAAATTGAAAATACAAGAGCGCGTGCATTAAACATTTAATAAATATCTCTTTTTGATTTCGAGAAAGTACTGGAAAATTCTCGCACGCGATTTTAAAATCTTATAAAAGGAGGAAAACCTCTCAGTTCGTTGGAGTAACTTAGTTTGTTGTTGTTTAGAAAACTGCTCTTGTTGACTGTAGCGAATTAGCAGACTAGCTTTCTCTAGCTGTTTTGAATTAAGTTCTCTTGAACGTTTGAGTAGTTAAAAGATAACTACTGTGAGATATTGTAATACTGCACGAATATTTTAGGAAATTTAAGCATACGCATGCAACAATTTTTGGTGTCAGGAGTGGGATTTGAATGCCACTAACAAGAGCGATGGAGGAGCAATTGAGGCAGCTCATCAGTGCTTTTGCTGCGTTCCAAGAAAAGATGGAAGCTGGCCAAGCTGCCTTTAAAGCATTTCAGACTTCAAGTACATATTGTTGTGTTCTTTCTTAATTCTGACACTACTTGTTGCATTTTTCCTTTTCTTCCGACACCACTTACGTTATTTTCGGTTGATCTTTACTTTATGGTAACTTGGCGATTTTTTGGCGAAAATTTGGCAACCAACTCTCCTACAGCAACCCTCTATTTTTTTCCCCCCGCCGCCAGTAAAGACATGTTTCTTTTCTTTTTATCTACTGAACACTTCTTCCAACAATCTACTAGCCGAATTACACTTATGCTAGAAATTTTATCAAACAAAACTGCTTAATCATGACAAATATTCACTGCAAAATTGGGAAAAAGTGCACAATGCCATACTCTTTACGCTTTTTTTCAAAATAACACATACACATAAACCATGTACAAAAACGCCGACTTATTTTTACTTAAAAAAAACATCCCAGAATTGCACAAAAATGGCATTGCGCACACTCTTCACTCTATCCATGTACACTGTTTTTTTCTCATAAATTAGAAAATTTCACGAAAATACATGACAATTTTCTCAATCTTTAAACCCGGTAAAAAAGAACATATGAAATTACCTGATCGCGAAAAAGTATTTACCCTTTACAAATATGAACTTTCCACATATAAAATAAATAAATATCCAAAAACTTTTACCTCTAAATCATCTATTACATTATACAACGTCACCAACGAATTCATACTGCAAGCATTACAAATACTTAGTAATCAAATATTTAAATTATTTCCATGCACGTTTACTTTAACTAAAACGTATACCAAATTCCTACAACATAAAATTCACAAATAACTATCATTTCATTAAAATATAATTAAATTCAAAAACCTACTTAAAATATAAATGAGCACATACATTAAATTAATAAAATTACTTACAATCCTAATTACTTTAAACTAAATCATTGCTAATAACAATTTTCCCAATAATACCAAATTCCTTTCCACCTTACATTTAGAACATGCATAAAAATAATATCCTCAATAATTAAAAATACTAACTTACCTAATCTTCTTCAGAATCTTGATTATTACGTGGCGGATACACTTTTCTAATTCATTCAATAAAATTATTTGAAAGATTTTTTCTGCGAATTTTTTCCTCCATACTTCCTCCACTAAATAAAAAGCAAACTTCTCTTTATCACAATGCTTAATAACCATTTCGAATTCACTTTAGTTAGGGCCATGGGATCCAAAAATTAAACAACACTGTTTCACCCAACACAGAATAAAGCTAAATACAAATTTCCCACATTTTTTCCCGATTTCCCCCCCCCTTTTCCGATTAAAGAACCGTAATTCGTCCATTAATATCACATGACATATCCCATGATCTCTCATTTCCCTCAACGCAAAATAATGCGTAATCGGAACTGAGTACTGCTCACATTATTACCAAAGTCCCAGGTAGTAACCTTTATCGCCTCCAAAATGTTGCCAAACTACCAGTTACCATATTGTAAAGATCAACCTTATTTTCTTTTCCTTCACATTCGTATGGATTTGGAGTGAACAATGATTATACTTGATGAAGTATCGAAACACACTTTAGTTACCAATATTAATCAGATAGCTCCAAAATCACTTTTACAGTCGTTGAACTGTTATAAACACGCTGACACGTTCAGCGACACAGCCTTCACACTGTCAGGCAATTACGGTGGAGACAGCTTCACTTGCAAAGCACCTGAGTACAGCTCCCAACTCTGCTTGGTCATTCTCGGAACTCCACATACTCTCGAGACTCTCCATGCGATGCACTCGGCGATACACAAGAGACATTAGAGGCTTTAAAAAGAATACACATTCTCGACTCAGCACAGTCTAAGACAAAACTCGATGACCAACTCGGCGCTAGACTTCGAGACACTCTCTCAATGACAGACTATCAGCTCGCTAGACGAGGCACGCACACACTGCGCCCTCTCGACGAGGCACACTCTCCCTGTCTGTGGACCAGCAGGGTTTATATAGCTTTTGGCTTGTGTTCGAGAACATTCTAGGCTAAACCGGTAAGAATTCGTTCTAGAAGGTTCTCCACCCGTCCATGGTATATCGCTGATTTTATTGCCAAATGGCTGACTTCTCGCCAAATGTGGGAACCCTACCTCCCCTTGCCATTCAATGGCAACCCTAAAACTGCTTTGCGAGGAAGCTATCTTACCGCGCCTGTACATTTCGTATCAGTATTGTTTCAATGCCAGAACATTAGAACTCTGCTTAGCATTTTCATGGAACTAACTATTATTGGTACTATTCGGTTTCAAGGGCTTTAAAAAATTGCCAAACTATTGTTGATGCCAATGCTGCCAAAAATAATTGCGGCAAGAAAGGAAGTATAATAGCTATTTAAGATTGATGTTTTAATTTAGATGAAAGGTTAAATTCATATAATACTTTTTTATTACTATAATATATATGAAAAAGGCTAAACATGACTGAATGGAAGCATAAGAGTAATAACTATTTCAGATCATTATGATAATTATATAAAAATTGCTAACAGAACTGAATGGATGCCTGCATCGCTATTTTCGCTACCGACTTATCGCTAAAGCATAATTTCATCTCGTTGGCTGTTCAAACATAATTTTCTATAATGAATGATGAGTTTTCTTTGGAAATATTCTCGGTAAAGTGCAGAATCACTCACTTATTTGTTTGCCACTTTTTACAAGGGTTAAAAACAATTGGATTTTTGTCAATTTTCTTTTACTTTTTAAGTGAAAGTAGGTCGATGTGTACATAGTTAAAGTCAAGAGTGTGTGCAGTGCCATTTTTGTGCAATTCTAGGACTTTTTTTAGAGTGAAAATAGGTCAATGTGCACATGGATACCGAGTATGTGCAATTCTTAAAAACGCGTCAAGCAGTGGGTGATTCTGTTTTTTACCCAAAATCCTATTGCCGACTTTTCGTCATGGGCAATTCCCCAATTGTTAAATCCATAGGATATCAAAAAAGATTTTAAAAATTAAACTTTGGCAGAACACAGTGCATTTGTGATGTGAGAATATGAAAAAATGTAAGGACAGTGCTATCACTTTGAAACACTTCATTATGCTTTGAAAAATCCTTAATCAATTTGTTTTAATTAAGACACAATAACACGCCGAACAAATAATAATTCAGAAGTCAAACAGCAAAACAAGACGGGAAATAATGATTAGATAAGATAAGAAAGCCTGGACAAGAATAAGCAAGTGGCGCCATCTGTTGGTGAAACTAAAACTAAAACATAATTTCTTTAAAGGCCGAAGGCAAATTTGGATTGGAATTAGGATCATTAACTAGAACAAAAAGATTTTTATAAATGTGAAATGCCTCTAGAAAATCCAGTTCTCCAATGGAAGATGTTTTTTGAATAATTTTGGCAGCAGAGGAATTGAAAGTGTGATTTTCGGACCAACAATGTTGAGCAACAGAAGACTTCTGTGTTTCCATTTTTTCTAACATATGCCTCATCGCGAAATTTTAAGGCTCTCTTAGTTTGGCCAATGTAAATGAAACCACACTGGCAAGGAATCCTATAAATACCCCAGGAATTCATATTTTATTTAAATCAAATTTAAATAGAGTTTATTTAAATGATTTAAATAAAGTTCTTTCAACAATGAATTCTATTGATCCTGCTATTCAGTTCACTTTTGAACTTGAGACTTGCA